CCAAAAAAAGCCCTCTTTATTATGTGATCAGTTGAAGTCCTTTATACCCCCGTTAAAGCCCTGTTTATAATAGTGGTCCGTGGAAGACTCATATGCCCCTACATAAAGCCCTCTTTATATTTGTGGCCAGTGGAAGCCTTATATGCCCCCTAGTTCAAGCTCTCTTTACACATGGAGTCAGTTGAAGCCTAAAATGGCCCCTGTATAAAATTCTCTTTATATTTGTGGTCAGTTGAGATCTTATATGCCTCCTATAAAAAGTCCTCTTTACATTGGTGGTCAATTGAAGACCTACCCCCCTCATAAATCCTGCTTTATATTTGTGGTCAGATAAAGTCTTATATGCCTCCTATAAAAAGTAATCATTACATTGTTGGTTGATTGAAGCCCCTATTTCCCCCCATATAAATCCCCCTTTATATTTATGGTCATATGAAGTATTATTTGTCTCCCATAAAAACGACTTCTTTAAAGTGGTGGTCAGTGGAAGACCTATATACCCCTATATAAAACCCTTTTACAATTTGAATAGCAATAGCAGGCTGGCTATAGCTCCATGCATTAAAATACAAAAAAAAAAGTTTTAAAAAATTAAAATTAAAAAGACAAAAAATTTTTTTTTTTAAATAAAGAAAAAGTTAAATAAATAAAAATTAAAAATGCAAACAAATAATAAAAAATAAAGTTTATAAAATAAAATTAAAAATAGAAAAAAACTTTTTTTGCTGTGTCATTTTAAATAAAATATTTTTTTAATTATATTATAATCTTCTGGACAACAGGGACAGTAAAAGACCCCTGACCCTTCCCTATGCTATCCAAAAGTAAAAAATGTTTTTTTGGCTGGAGTTACACTTAAAAAATGTACCTGTTCCGACTTACATACAAATTCAACTTAAAGTGACATTAAACCCTCAGATTTTTTAACATAAACCAATACTGTAATGAGTGCCTTACTGTAATCCATGGTTGTTTCCATTCTCTGCTGCTCTTCCTTTTAAATCTGTATATGTTCTCATGCTCTGCAGAATTTCTGTTTTGCAGCAGAGTGCCTTGTCCCTGGAATGGATACACGGTGTCTGTGTATACGTTTCTATAGACTTGTAACCTGAGCCAGCACTACAGGAAGAGGCCCTGAGCTGAAAAGGGAAGTTGTCCCCAAGCATGAGAAGACATGAGGATTTAAAAGGCAGAGCAGCAAAGAGAAGGGAAACAACCATGGATTACAGTAAGGCACACATTACAGTATTGGTTAATGTTAAAAAAATCTGAGGGTTTAATGTCACTTTAAGTACAAACCTAAAGTCCCTATCTTGTATGTAACCCGGGGACTGCCTGTATTTAAAAACATTGATAAGACCATGTTTGGCCTTTAATGGATTTAAGCCATGCAATGTTCTTGGGTTTGACAATTATTCATAGATCTGCTACAAATTTACATCTATATTTGCAAAATAAAAGTCACTCTTAGGGACACACTATTGCTGACCACTAGAAGGAGGAAATTCATAACATAGGGATATTAGTGACTTTACTCATAACCCCTTGAACCGTCTTTGTCTGCACCTATTTTTTAATCTGCCACCTCTGTCGCTTTACCTTGGCATGGTTTTCCTTCTAGACTCTCTCTGTGTGTAGCTACCAGATAGATAGACCAGTCATGATAGACCAGTCATGATACATGTTCTTCCTCAGATGTTGGTCCTACCTGGGGAGAATTGGAGGACCCCAAGATCTGTCGCTATTCAACCCTGGCTGCCTATTGAAAGGGATTGTACAGCACGAGCTCAATCATGTCCTGGGCTTTGTCCATGAGCACACCAGGAGTGACCGGGATACCTACGTTGGCATTGAATGGGCACATATCTCAGATGGTAAATTTCATCATACCTTCTAATGATGCCATGTTGGTCTATTTGCCATTGTAGAAGTGTGAGTGTACTTAGATGTCTTGACTTTGCAGGAAGTGCAGGACTCTCCAGTCAGGCTCTCATTTATTCACGTCATGGTATAGGTGGTGGAAGTTGGTCACATTCAACTAGACTTGTTCTAAATGTGGAAGACATTTCACTTTTCATGCTAGAAGAGACAGCAAAAGCAGAGAAAACACGGGGGTTTCAACTCTACTGTATCCAAAACTAAGATTCTGATTTGAATTCGTACATGTGCTCCTTAGTGGTTTAGAGTAAACCCATATTTTCAGTAACCTGAGGACATAAATATAAAGAAGGCACACTCAGGTACCTTAATGTGATGTTAAATATCTTTCCAAGCAGGGCCGGAACGATGATGGGACCCTCATAGAAAAACCACTAAGGGACTCCCTACCCCCTAATATTAAAGGCAAATCTCCCCAAATGGTGTACATTTGTATGTACATTTATTCTATCTAAATGTAGTATCCAAAAATTGTCATTTGCATTAATCATTGTGCTACTGGGCAGCTCTGGGCCCCTGTGTTTCTGGGCTCCATAGCATGGTCTGCAATGGCTGTAGTTATGCTCTTGTTCTAAAGCATGCTGGGAACCCCAAAACCTGGAATATTTGCAAATGTTATTATAGACTTCAGGAAGGAAGTGTTTTAGGGTGCCTGTTTTCAGGGGCGTTCCAAGCCATTTCGCCGCCGGGGGAAGAAAATAATGTTGCATGTTAACTGAGAGGGTAGGTTGCCAGAGCATCCCGCTGAGCTCCTGGCAACCAGTGACATCACTTGGTGTCCCAGGTTGGTATGGCCCTTACACATCTCCTTGCCCGGCTCTTAGAAACCTGGGATGCTCTGGCTGGAATGGGGGTTGCAGGCACACTACAAATATTGCACAGCAGAGTGCCCATGCTGCTCTGCCTGCCATGACCCAAAGAAAAATGCTGCCTCAGGCAACTGCTTCCAGCTGCCTCATTATAGGGACGGGCCTACTGCTTTTCATTTATGTCACCTCTTTACCTAGTTTTCTGTAAAGTTTAATTTGAAGTCCACTCAAAATAATATCTATTTTTGGCAGAGCGTGGGGGAGGGGTGTTACATCACCTATCAGCATCCGATACATATTGGATCCCTACAGTATAGAGAAAGATTTCCCTTCTAATTTCTTTCTCTTCCCTCATTAATTTTACATTCTATGGAAATCACCAGATGGAGTTGGCTTTCTTCGGCTTCGCAAACAAGTGGTGGTGGGTAGAGATAGCCGCTTTGGTGGAGGGATTATGCTGGGAAGGTCCCTGAAAAGGTAGATGATGAGTGATTCAACTTGCCCTTACCGACTCAAGGGTGAAAGTTTAGGTTGGACAGGAATTTAAACACTGGAAATATATGTTATTCAAATCACAACATACATACAGTATGAATAGTAATTGCATTCAGCCACTGAATAGGAGAAGTAGTAATGATACTAACCATACTTTCTGCATATTGCATCATACAGTATACAAAAGCAACTTTGAGATGACCCAGCCTCCAACCAATAACCTGGGCCTGCCGTATGATTACGCTTCTGTGATGCACTATGGAAGGTAAGTCAATATCACCAATAATACCCTCTAAAGCAGTGGTTCTCAACCGTTCTAGGGCCGGGACCCCTCGTTAACTATTGCCAAGTTGTGGTGACCCCCAACGGTAAAATTTAGGGATGCACCAATACTAGTATCTGTGCGGGCACTCAGGAGGCTATGCGGGCTCTCACGTGACTAGTGGGACTCTCTGGTGGCGCCCAGTGGGGGCTCTGTGATGTCCAGTGCGACTCTTTGGTGATCAAGCACTCACCTCCTCTCACTCCTGCCCGCTCCCCTCTCTCTGATCCTCTCCGGCCACCGATGCTGCAGCGCCATCTAGGAGAACTGACACTGCCTCTTACATAGTGCAGCGCAATGCATGTGGTGACCCACTTTTGGGTCGCGACCCTGAGGTTGAGAACCACTGCTCTCAAGGACCTTTCATGATACAGCTCCCCTGCAGGGTTGGCCCCAGGTGCAGAGCTGCCTACAATGTAGGTTTAGGTTACACCCTGTATAGGCAGCATGATGCAAAGTTCCCATCTAGACTGAACCTATACATAGAATAACATAGAATATTTTCCATGTTAAGTGCATGGATGTATATTATTGTGCAAATGTAAAATTTTCAAGTATTTATCACTTCTCACAGAGATCACAGAACCCATCTGACATCTGTTGTTCTATACAAGAAGGGTGCCATTTTTGTTTAGGCATCATCCAAGGTCATTGTCTACTTCCTAGACTGAGTTGCTGGCTCATAGAAAAAGCGGTCATGTTAATCCTGGTGCAATTTTTGATTGTTTTGGATACAAAGTTACAGCGTTGCAGTCTGAAGCAGAGGAGACTGGGCAAATTCTTCCTCCTGCCTGCAGCACACAGATGACATCATCTCAGCCTAGCCAAAGTCACAGAACTGGAGCTCAATGATGACTTTTTAAAGCTGAATTCTAGTATACAAATTCATGTAATTGACCTCTAATGAAGTGTATTCTATCTCCTGTTGGCTATTGGTTACCTTTAAAATCCTCCCTTCACTGAAGCGGGATCCTACTTACAGCAGTGATCTGGCTCTGCAGGGACATGACGTGACAGTGATGGATCCGATCATTCGCTCTCCCTTTGTTACCCCCTCATTCATTCTCAAAACGCCTTGTAATATTTTAATGGAATGCAAGGTGTTCTGTGAACGGACGGAGAGGGGGGGGGGGGCTCTTCCCTTGTCCATTCACATAACGCCATGCATTCTGTGTAAAATATTACAGAAATTTGTGAATAGACGAGTGGACAGGAAGTGAAGGGTTAACAATAGGCGCTGCCCCTCATCCCTGCAGTACCAGAAGATCACGCACTAAGGTGTACGTTTAATAAACTGTGAAAGAGTGTGATAAGCAGTGAGAAGGCTTTTCTCACCTTAGCAAAGTGAAAAGTCTAGAAAATGGTGTTTAATAACCCGTGATAAGTCAGGTAGGAACTGAAATATCTCCCCTGTTCTCATCCTGGTGATAAGTAAACAGAAAGTAATGGGAATGTACCTGTTTAATAAAAGGGAGAAAAGTAGAGAACAGCTTTATCACTGGATAAGTATTGTGAAAAGTACCCTTGATTTAGCACCCTGTCAGACCTGGTAATAAAGGCCTTTTTCTCGAGAAGCACTGAGCAAAGATACAGGAACTTGGAACTAGGTTTATGACTTTAGGAACCTTCAGGAACAGTTAAAATAAAGCACAGATGCTCCTCTTCTGGATTTCTGACATTTTGGGACATTTATGCCAGTAGCAATGTTTGGCTGCCCAGGTAGCCTGAATGCTGATTGAAGCCCGTGACACACTGCAGGCGATTATATATATATATTGTGGGGAACCCCAGGGGTACGCATGCGTCTTCAACACAGTCCGATATAAACAGTTTTTATTTAAACCAGCAGTAACAGAACAAACAACTTTCTTCAGCAAAACAGTAAAGTAAAAGGCTTTCCTCAGCAAACATCAAACATAAAGATAAAGTCCTTCAATAAGATTGCACTGTGTAGTGCATTTAGGCGATCTCACCAAGATAGAGTCCACTTGCTTCTGCACAGCCACACACACCCAGACCTTTCTGTCTGTCTCTCAGCTTCCTCACTCCTCTCACCCCCCCTCCTTTGCCGCTGGCGATCCCGAGCTCCGCTGTGCCGGACAAGCTACAGTGTAGCCAAGCTGCAGTGCGGTGCGAAGTGGAAGTTTGGGTTTTTTTTCCCTTTGCTTCGCTTCGCCTGCAGTGTGTCAGAGCCTTGAGAGGGAACAGGAGGGAAGTCTGTTTTAATGCCCCCCTTCCCTCATGAGAGTGACAGTGGCAGTTTCAAGTCCCCTCACTGTATCTGTGTAGTGTGAGGGAAAGTTCAGTAAGGTCATGTGACCTTAGGGTTTGTTGTTGAAGTCTCAGTCTCCCTCAGAAACAGGCCCACCAAATAAAGCTTGAAGGATGTCTGGGGAGTATGTTTTTGAGGCAGATGCAGTGAACATTGCACTCCACACATAACAGTCTGTAACACCATTTCGCCACCATGGTCTGCCGTTTATGATGCATTAATACATGCTTCTAGTGTGTTTGCACACACACAGTGCTGATGCACCTATCTCGGGACAGCAGGCTTTTTTCATGGACGCCAAACATTCTAATTTCCAGCATGTGTCAGAGTGCCCACTTACATTGCTAGGCTCCATCAGAGTGCCCCTTTAGAATGTTTAACCCCATCACTGCCTCGCATTGTGGCTGCCTCTGGTAGTTTAATTCATGGTTTTGTACTGGTACATGCTGAACAAATCAGAACATGTAAATCCTGTTTTTTAGCAATTTTCTTAATTTTAACGGTGAAATAACTGTTGCACTTTGCTATAGCGGTGCTTTGTAATATTGTTAATGGGTGGTTTGGCAGATTAAACTACGATCCTGTCAGGAGGATTGCAGATTATCACAAAGGATGTCATTGTGCAGCTCAGAATACATTCCCCACATTGCTTTCTCAACTGATCACTGAGATAACTTATCTCAGCCTTTCACAGCTGTTACGTGAGATAAGTTTTCTTTTCGCAGGTTATTAAACAGCCTCTGTGCAGCCGAGAAAAACAAAGAGATCTGCTGAGTAAAGTTAACTCGTGATAAAGCTAGTTTTATCACAGTTTATTAAACGTACACCTAAAGGTGAAGCTTTCTTGAAAAATATTACTTTTGATGTATATTGAAGTGGCAGGTTAGTGGAGTCGAACTGTTAAGTGCTGCTTCAAGTGGTGTGACTGGTGCAAAGTTCCACTCACTTCCTTACATGTCTCCAGAACAAGACGTGCCGAGAAATCTTCCTGATGGAAACAAAGTCAACAACAGTGACCAGACAGAGGTTGTAAGCCTTCTTCACTCAATCCAAACCTAAAATAAAACTTCTGGCTAGAAGTCTACTGAAAATTTTGATTTCACTATACCAAAAGATGGTTTCATATGGTTGGAGCTTATAATATCCTCACGCATAGCATGAGCTATACAAATATTACCTTATCTGACTGTGTTTCATTAATGCAGATATGCCTTCAGCAAAGCTCCCGGAAAGGCAACCATTGTCCCAAAGCCTGATGCCAGGGTCTTCATAGGGCAGAGGTATGGACTGAGCAGCCTGGACCTTCAGAAGATCAATCGTCTTTATCAGTGTGGTGAGCACGAGCATTAGAAGAAAAAAAAAAATGACAAACTGCAATTTTTGCACATTATATGATCACCATGTGGCCCTGTGTAAATTACATGGGAACACTTTTTCACTCCAAGAAGTATTAAAGGAGAACTATGGGGTTAGGGCTTTTCCCCATAGTTCTCCTTAGGGTAACGGGAGGACACAAACTAGCATCCTCCCGTCACCCTAAGCTCAGTATACCGCGAGCTACAGCTCGAGGTATACTGAGATGCCGCAGCTGAAGCGGATCCCTACAATTATGTCTGGATCCGCCCAGCTGCGTTAGTGACAGCTGGCTCTGCCTATCTAGAGGCAGAGCCAGCTGTACCCGCCCCCTCCCCGTCCGTTCCGCCAGTAAGTGCTGGAGGATCGGAGCGGGGAGGGGGGAATCCAGCCCCTCCCCTCTCAAGGCAGAGAGCCGTGACAGGATCGAGAAGTGAGCAAACGCCGGTATGTGCTCGCTCACTTCCCGATCTACTGAGCCGACCTGTGACAGTCTCATTGTCACAGGTCGGCTAGAACTTTGAGGTGAGTGAAAAGCTCTCACCTCATAGTTCTCCTTTTAATAGAACAGAAATTCAGAATCACTGTTGCCAATAATGCAAAGCTGTACTTTGTTCATTCAGGACAGAGCTACAGGGTTGCTTTGATCCCCATTTATCCTCAGCATAAAGTTACATTTACTTTACTTACCCAATGGTCTGTTTAGCGTATTTCCCAGTATGGTAGAGCATGTGATCCACTCCGTGTGACAACACTGGGCCTAAATAGCCCTGTGTAGGCTATGACTACACAGGACATGCAATGACAGCTAGTATGCAGAGGATGATGATGAGTTTAGTATGAAGGAAGACAATGGATGAGGTTCGGAGTTGTTATAAAATACCATGTTCTCTATCTCTGGTTTGCAGATGTCTGCAGTTCGTTGCTCTGTGACCTGTCAGGATCTTTGCACTCGGGATATATAAGTTCAGTCAATCAGAACAGATCACAATGTGTCTGGCTCATTCGTGTCCCTGCAAACAAGGTATTTTTGATAGTTTACTTTTAAAGGGTGCCATGTCTAAAAGTTGGGTAGTTTCCAAGTAAGTTATATGACACAAAAGGTATCTATGCTAAACTAAGAGGAACCCATGGCACTAGTAAGGATGAGCAAAACTGAGAGTGTTCATTTCCCCACATTTTGGCGAAAATCAATAGAATATGGCAAAATTATATCATGTTGGCTAAATGATTTGGAGTCAATGGGAAAGGGAAAATTAAATGGTTTTCTTGTTTTTACGGGTCCAGTGGGCTCCTGGTGGTTACAAAAGCTATTTTCATCTATCTTGGACCTGTTTGTGTACCAACAATGACCATATTTTAGCCTCATTATTTTATGTTTTGCTTTTTTTTTTTTTTTTTTACAAAAAAAGTGAAATACAGTGGCAGCACACATATAACAAATCATATTGTCAGGAACCGGATCTGAACCCAGGGCCGCTGCTGTACCTGCTGAGCCACCTTAGATAGCTCTTTCCTGATTGCCTGTGTAATCCTCAGTTAACTTAACCACTTCAAGACCAGGTGTTTAGACCCCCTTCCTGGCCAGGCATGTGAACTTCCTATTTAAGCCATGCCTCTGCACTTCCTCTTTGCCAGATTATTGTGCTCCTGCCAATATCTTGCTTCCTTGCTCCTCCTGTGATACAATCCTCTCATACTGCTACCCGTGTACCGACCTTTGGCTGCTGATTCACCAACTACTCTCATCGTCTTCCACGTCATATCTGATACCTTTGGCTACCGACCTCGGCTTGATCTCTGACTACGATTCTGCGTGCTCATATACTACTATAGTCTGCTTGTGTACCGAACTCGGCCTGTTTGACTACAACTTTGCCTGCTGTTTCAGCTACTGGACTCTGAGCCTGATCCAGATCGTGACACATATACACACACAAAAAAAGAAAAAGAAAATCATTTACCAAATAAAGGAAAAATTTAATTTTTTATCTAATCAGCTCATTGAGTTAATTTGCGGTCAAATTACCAAAGTTTCACCAAGTCACTCCACTCATCCCTAGACACGAGTATCACAGATAATTATTGGTTTTCAATAGGGCACTTCTGTAGCTGCTTGCTTTTAGACTTCTGTCCTTAAAGGAGAACTATGGGGTTAAGTCTTTTCCCCATAGTTCTCCTTAGGGTAACGGGAGGACACAAACTAGCGTCCTCCCGTCACCCTAGGCTCAGTATACCGCGAGCTGTAGCTCGCGGTATACTGAGATGCCGCAGTATACTGCGAGCTGATGCTCGCGGTATACTGAGACGCCGCAGCTGAAGCGGATCCCGACAATTCTGCCAGGATCCGCCCAGCTGCGTGACTGACAGCTGGCTCTGCCTATCTAGAGGCAGAGCCAGCTGTACCCGCCTCCTCCCCCGTCCGATCCACCAGTCAGCGCTGGCGGAGGGGGGAATCCAGCCCCTCCCCTGTCACGGCAAGGAGCCGTGACAGGATCGAGAGGTGAGCGAACGCCGGTATGTGTTCGCTCACCTCCCGATCTACTGAGTCGACCTCTGACATTCTCATTGTCACAGGTCGGCTAGAACTATGAGGTAAGTGAAAAGCACTCACCTCATAGTTCTCCTTTAACTGAAACTCCTTATGACTAGGGTTGCGGCTGGGCTGTTCACCCAAGCCTGCTCTACACCGCCACCCCCTCCTCCCAACCCAATCAGTTATGGCCTGGGAATGTATAACTGCAGGCCAGGGAATACGCCTGCTGCCACTGACTGGGTTGGGTAGGGGTAGCTGTTAGAGGTTTTAGCGGGCTTGGGCAAACTCAGGCGAACTGGGTTTGCACCAAGGCCAGACTCGTCACTACTTATGACTCAACCTGAACAGAGTCGGGGACAGCTGGGGGCTGAATTTGAGTTTCAGCTGTTGAACTCCATTAACAAGCGGCTTTTCCCAGTAAAGTAGTGAAGGTTAACTGGCTAAACAAGTGAAAGGAAGTCTATAATGTAAATTTGAAATGTTCAAATGCAGACGTTCATACTTACAAAAGTAAAACCTATTTTAAACATTTCCTTGTTTAGCCCTGAGCATTGTAAAGAAAAATTATATACAAAACCACCAAACATCACATGGCATCCAGCCCAGCTCCCGGCAACCAGCGATGTAACAGTGAGCTAGGCAGGATGCCATGCACCACAAACATGCCCTTGTGTTGTTGTAAGCCATTTGGCCTGACATACTTACCTCTGGCCTGCTAAGTGTTGCACAATATTTGTGCTTACTTGGCATGCTAGAACCTGCACTTTGAAGTTTCTGAAGGGCTGCGAGAACCCCGTTTCCACTCATGATGCCTGCCGATTGAACACTATTAATTTACTGATAAAGGTTTTCCTATGTAGGTGTTCCTGCAGTTTCATACCTTTGATACCTCTCCCAGCTGCTCCTCGGACTCTGTGAAGGTGTATGATGGGGCTACCAAGACATCTCCTCTACTAATTAACACTACCTGCAGGATGAAAGATCTCCCTCCGGTGTTGTCCTCAGGAAACCTGATGTCCGTGGAATTTTTAAGTGGTGGAGTTACAACATTCACAGCTTCTTATCAGACAGGTAGTTTTATAGCATTTCTTTGAACAGAGAGACTAACTTATTTACTGCCACTGATGAAGGGTAAAGCAGAGAAATACATTGGCTGCTGTCTGTAGCTTCAATAGGTAAATACACTAACCTGGAACAAGCATGCAGCAAGAGAAGTCATGACCCCTTAATCTGTATACTTGTTCCTATTAATGAATACAGAGTGTGTATATTTGCCTAAAGTTCAGCTTTTAGAAAAAACAGGGATGGGGGTGCTGGCACAATAAAAACAAATTTGGAAGGTCACTGTAAAAAAAAAACGTATACATACGGGTCGAACTCAATGGACTGCTTTTTTTTTTTTTTTATAGCATGTAAACATTTCATTGTAAAGATATTAGACATTCATAGTATAAATCACGGGAAGTTTTAGGTAGAAATACATATTATACCATTGCTACAAAAGGAAAACTTACAAAATACTCAGTCAAGCCACGCCACAGTATGAGTAGCTGAATTACTTTGTAAGTTGTATCTTTTTTCAACCTGACTAACTATGTAACTACATGTAGAAAATAAAATGGCCGCTTACATGTAGAAAATAAAATGGCCGCTAACATTCACATATATTTTGTGTTGATTACTTATATGCAGTGGATCTTATTCAAACACATATCAATCTGCACCTGTACTGAATATAATTCTGCGTGTGTATCTATTGTTGTAGTGGCATGTGGTGGAATGCAAATGAAGGAGACTGGAACTGTGACCTCTCTGGGATACCCTACCAAGTACCTACCCTTCCAAGATTGTATATGGTCTATTGTGGCACCCACTGGGCATAGAGTAAGTTATATTTAAAACTGAAGAAATATTGCAGTTAAAAAAGGCAAAAAACTTGATTCAAACTGTTTTTTCATAGCTGCTTCCTACTACTAAACTCTTTTCTTTTGTGTGTTCAGCCAGTCTTTGGTCCATTAATGTCCCCATAGTCTACCATATTGCCACTGGTGTCCTGATCAGGGCCGGATTTTCCACAATGGGCAACCAAGGCCCGGCCTCGGGGCAGCAGGGAGTAGAGGGGTAGCAGGGGTGCGGAACTTCTATCTCCCGATTCCCGGGACATGCAGTTCCAGGTGCCGGGAGGGTAATTGTTTTCTACATTTAGCACTGCTTTGAGCAAGCAGAGCTAAATCTACAGCGGGGAAGCTGCCGCTTGTTTTGTACAAGTGATCTTGTCGATGTCGCCGAGATCACTTGTATGCAGCCTGCAGGTCTGCCATTCTCCATTGGTGGGTTTGGCAGGTAGGGGGGCGCATTGAGGAGCCTGGCCTTGGGGCAGCAGAGAGAGTAAATCCGGCTCTGGTCCTGGTGTACAAATAGTCCCAATTGTTCCAATACTGTCCCAATTGTATACATTATATCTGTGAGTCTCAGGCTCGCTTTCCTAAGGGTACATTTAACTCTATATAGCAGTAGTAATTATCTTACTAGAAGATCACTATCTGCAAGGAGTTTGCATGTTCTCCCTGTGCTTGTGTGGGTTTTGTCTGGGAACTCTGGTTTCTTCCCACACTCCAAAGGCATGCTGGGAGGTTAATTGGCTCATGTCTAAATTGGTCCTTCTATGTATGCATGTGAGATAGGGACCTTAGATTGTAAGCTCCTTAAGGGCGGGGACTAATGTGAATGTGCGCTGTGTAAATTGTCGGCGCTATATAAATACCTGTAAGAATGAATAAAAGGGGTCTCAGCTATGCCCCTAACATTCCCAGAGGGCTGCAGATAATATTCTGCATATGTATTGTGATAAAACATTGCCAGAAATTGCTGATATACTGCACAAGATGGCCCGGAGAAGGTGGACATGGTACAGTTGTGGTCAGAGACTGGAGAGTGCTGCAGGAGACAATTAGAGACTGAGGACATGTTTCATGAGACTGCTAGAGGTCACTGTTATTGCATCCTCTTTTACAAAACAATGCTCTTACCACCGACTGTTAGGGTCTGAGAGCCAAACAATAAGTTGTTAAACTGTGAATGAGACAAGAGAAGACTTTTACTCAGTCTGTTCTTAGTTTCATCTCATTGTGCTCTCACAGTTTCTAGTGCAGAGGTCATCAATCAGGGTAACAGGCCACCCATACATCCTACACATATGTGTTATGTGATGGCAATGGGTAGACATATTGCAAAGAGCAGCATAGACCAGCCTTTCTCAACACTAGCGCGCCTCCTGGCTTTCTCAGCGGTGCCTCGAAAGTTTCACACAACTTCATGCCTCTGATGTGAAAGAGGAGGACTCTGATGTGAAGAGGGAACTTCAGGTTTGAAGAGGGTCTCATAGTGTGAGAAAGGGGACTCTGATGTGAAAGAGGGGGACTCCGAAGGGAGCTTCTGATTTGAAGAAGGCCTCCTAGAGTGAGAGGGGTGACTCTGATGTAAAATAGGGAGAATCGGATGTAAAGGGGGGCTTCTGATTTGAAGAGGGTCTCCTAGTGTGAGAGGAGGATTCTGATGTGAAAGAGGGGGACTCTGATGTGAAAGAGGGGGGCTTTGATGTAAAGGGAGGCTTCTGATTTGAAGAGGGCCTCCTAGTGTGAGAGGAGGATTCTGATGTGAAAGAGGGGGACTTTGATTTGAAGGGGGGCTTCTGATTTGAAGAGGGTCTAATAGAGTGGGACTCTGATGTCAAGGGGGGCTCCTGATACAAAGGGGGGCTTTAATGTGAAAGGTGGCACTCTGATTGTGTTCTTGTGTGGGGTCACCCCCCCTTTAAATTCATACCAGACCCCTATCTGGGATAAGGGATGGGTATGGATTTTGGAGGGACCCAACGGTTTGTACATTTTAGCCTTTTACGCCTCAAGATTTTGTTCACTTTTAAAGGGTGACGTGGCTGAAAAAAATGCTGAGAAAGGTTGGCGTAGACAACATTCCAGAGGAGATACATCATTATATCTAATGATTGATTTATATTTCAGTTGTAATTATAATGACATTTTCCCATATGATGCTCTTACATCTACTACTACTTTTACTTTAAAATAACTTTAAATACTGTTACCCCTGGCAGATTCAGCTGAATTTCGTCTCCTTTACGCTGGAGTCCTCCCGTAACTGCATTTACGATTACTTGTCCATCTCGGACAGCTCTCGATCTGGCACCTCGGTATCAGACAGGTATTGTGGGGCTAAGAAGATGCCGTCACTGGTGTCCTCTGGGAACTGGATGCTGTTGCAGTTCCACTCGGATAAGTCAGTGCAGAGTACCGGCTTCCAGGTCACATACAGATGGGGTGAGTAGAAGGAGAAGACTTGGAGTCATGGCTAGCAATATAGGAAGGTGTGAAGGTCAGCCTCTATGAAGTTCAAGAATGTCACCAGCACACCATTGATCAAGTGACGTTAATCCATTTAATGACACAACAATGCCATCCAATGCTAGCATTTTCGGGGCCACGCAGGGTCCCCTTCATCAGGCTCGGATGAAAGTGACCTTGCGTGGCCCCAAAAGGGCTAGCATTGGATGGCATTCTGTCATTAAATGGATTAACTTCACTTGATCAGTGCTGTGCTGGTGACATTCTTGAACTTCATGTATACTTCACGGTGCCGTCCGTGGTCAGAGAAGGAGTGCAGCAAGATACATGCATATTTGGTCAGCTTCTATGAACCCTGTGCAGTAGAACTCAAACTGGAAGAGGGAGAGAGAGTGCTAGGGGCCAATCAGGTGCACTAACAATGCTGACAAGTGGAGAGATCGTAGGGATCAAATCAAAAGGCTGCTTCTTGACCATCCACTCACAGGATGGGGCAGAGAGGGTTTATCCCACCCCTGGGGCTGCTACCTGCTGCTCCAGTGAACAGGTAAAGCTGTATGTAGCTGCAGTTAGATAAACAAAAAACATAATAAGGAAAAAAGATTTGAATTATGCAATAAAAAAACAAGGTCACATCAAAAATAACTTTAAAGTAAACTCTGCAATAAACACTAAAAATATATTTTAATTAAAAATACACTTTGTGCTTTAATTATAAAATCACATTACTAATATTTTCTTATACTTGTTGGCACCATCAAGGGGCGCTAGTGCCATGCAAACATCATCCACCCGGGGGCGCTAGTGCCATGCAAACATCATCCACCCGGGGGCGCTAGTGCCATGCAAACATCATCCACCCGGGGTAGAGCATTATAAAGTTTTATAAATGAAGCCCTTATCTGAATTTCAGTTTCCAAATTTCAGATCCCGTCCGAATTTCGTTCAAAAACGAAAATTAATTGGACATGTGACTTTTGGATCCCGAATGCCATACGAAATTTGGATCCCGAATGCCATACGGGTCTCAGCCTCAGCTTTAGTAATATATGTAACTATATGGCTCCCAGACCCGAATGCCATTCAGGATCCGAATTTCCGAATGCATTTGGGAGCTCCCGTATGCCATTCGGGTCTGGGAGCCATATACATATATTACTAAAGCTGAGGCTCCCAACTGCAATTTGGGAATTCCGATACTGAATGCCATTCGGGTCTAGGAGCCTCAGCTTTAGTATAATATCTGTATATGGTTTTCTGTGGTATTCGCAACGAATATTTGTAAACTTGTCCAAAACCAACGAAATTCGAATTTCGTCCAAAACCCGAACCGAATTTAATTTCGTATCCGAATTCCAAAATAACAAAATATCCGAACCCAACCGAACCAAATGTTTCCGCAGCTTACATGTCTAGTTCTCAGTTCTAGTTTTGGGGCAGTGTTGCTCTAGTTCAGCAATATAATGAGGTCCTGGAAATGATTTGATAATGCTATAACGCAATTACGCCCTCACAATCTTTGCTGCGCTAAAACGGTTATATTTATTTTCTTCTCTGCAGTGTGAGACATCGTTGGATGAAGTTTGAAGATCTTGGAACGCAATACACCAGAGGGAAACTCTGACCCTCCAGCTTTGAGGAAACTACAAATCCCATTATGTGTCTTCCTCTGAGAGCCATGTCTGTAGCTTTCAGTCTCGCAATGCCTAATGGGATTTGTAGTTCCACAGCAACTAGGGGGGCTGAAGTTTGCCTACCCCAGCTCTACACTTTGTTTTAACCCTACTGAAAGAATGTAAAGTCAACCAGTGCTGTCCAAGCACCCATTAAACCAACCTTGTGTATTGTTATCGGACGAGCTTCAGGGCCTGCAGAGCTTGGTTACAATCTTCAGAGTACCTCTGCTGCACACTGGGAGTCCCAAATACCTGTAAATGTTGAAAGGAATTTTAGAATAGACTGCATACCATAATGAAGCATGGGTTTCTGGGCCCTGAGATGTACTAGTCCAGAGGTAGGCAACCTCTGCACTCCAGCTGTGGTGCAACAACAACTCCCATCAGGCCTTTGCCTCTGAGTGTCATACATGTGGCTTTCGGAGTCTTGCGATGCTTCATGGGTCCTGTAGTTTCACCACAGCTGGAGTCCCAAGTCCCCCCCCCCCATACTAGGTTATCATGGGATATAATGGGGGAGGCCTAGGCTGGGACAAGTTTCAACTTTTAGGGGCTCCCAGGGTGCAGCAAGGAGTTTGAAGATTGCCATTGTAGATCAGGGGTATGCAACCTCTGAACTGTTGTGAAACTACAAATCCCAAGAGACATTATAATCTGATAATTGTATTATGCCCTTAAATATGACCATACACATCACAATATGTTTGTAGTCTAATATATATTTTCTGACAACTGTGCAGTACAAGGGCCTGGATGATTGGATGCAAATTGGATGCATTTTATGGGTAGGCCTGGAAGGTCCTGTTTCTGTTTTTGGATGTGTAAGGGGTGTAGTACCCTTAGTTTTTCACCAGGCGTCCCTCTTGGCCGAGTTAAGAGTGTATATATATCTGAGTGGCCAGATTATTATGAACACCCCATCAGTACTTCGTTGGGCCACGAGATGACTTTGTTGGGCCGCCTCGTGACTCCACGAGATGTTGAAAGGTGATGGGAGGAATCTGACACTGCACTGTTGCCCTTCTGTTTTTTTGCCCCAGCCCTGCCACTCTCCGTTCTGCCCTAACATTGACTGGTTGCTGACGGCCACAATTCGCACGTTCAGACCCAGATTTTCGGCTGACAGTCCAGTCTTTAAACACTTTAACAATGAGCCCCTCTTGAACATTTAACGAATTCTGCTGTTTTGCTGATACTCGTTCCATGGCTCCGAGCGCCAACAATCATTCCCGTTCAAAGGCTGTTAAATCGCGTTGTTTCCCCGTATCTTCAGAAACAAATCACTTCTACTGTCGTGGTAAACAACCTGCTTCCCTATTTATAATGGTCTGGCCCTCTAGTAACTTCAGCGCAAAATCATAGCTAATTTGCCTACAAATGTCAGGTGGTCATAATAAATTTCAAAGAAAAAGGGCCACTCAGTGTACACTGCCTGGCCAAAAACAAAAGTCAAACACTCTGATATTTCGTTGGACCGCCTTTAGCTTTGACTACGGTACTCATTCGCCATGGCATTGCTTCAAAAAGCAATGCAATGTTACAACATTTATTTCCGTCCAGATTTGCATTAATTTTCACCAAGATCTTGTAGTGATGATGGGAGAGTCGGACCACTGCGTAAAGTCTTCTCCAGCACATCCCAAAGATTCTTGATGGGGTTAAGGTCTGGATTGTGGTGGCCAATACATATGTGACAATGATGTCTCATGCTCCCTGAACCACTCTTTCACAATGTAAGCCCATGGAATCCTGGCATTGTCATCTTGGAATTTGACCAATGTGCCATCAGGGAAGAAAAAAATCCATTGATGGAAAAACCTGTTCAGTATATTCAGGTAAGCAGCTGACCTATTATCCAATGGAAGGCTCGGACCTATTTGCTTAGCTAAATCCAGGTGGTGACTTTTTTTTTTTTTGGCCAGGCTGTGTGTGGCAGACAAGAAATCTTCTTAGAGCCCTTTCATTGTAGAGAACTAAGCCAAAGGAAAGAGCAGTGATAAGCTCTTGTGGACTTTCATGGGATACACAGGGCCACAGCTGGAAAAATGAAGTTTCACATTGTTCCTTTTAGGGGGGATGCCGCTGTTCCTTCTTCAAGTGGATCTAGCCAGTGCAACTGGAAACTCTACTCAGATAACACCTTCCTGTGGTCATAAGTCCGGAAGTGGACCAGGCATAGCCAATCCATGGAACCATGATAAAAATGGACCATAAGAAAAGAGAAGTTCAAGCAGAAGATGGACCGAGTCTCTTCATGCCTGCGATTGGTGGGTGACCATATTTGGGAAACTTATTGTAGCAGCCTGCAAGGGGGAAGGGTTGTGTAATGGTTGCATGATGGAGGGTCAGTCAGTGGTGGTGGCCTCTCAGGCTCCTCCAGTGCATCTGCTGCGCCACCTAGACAGTGACCATGTCAACACGGGTCTAAGGTACAGAGTGTGACCCTTCTATGGATTGAACCCGGACCATCATCATGTCAACATGGTCTAAGGTATAGAGCATTATGCTTGCAGGGATTGAACCTGGAAACACAGACACAGTGGAGGCCTCCTATGCAATTGTAAGAAAGAACCCTGCCTAGGCTGTGCTGAAGATATGCAACCTGAGTGTGTTTTGGAGCCAGCAGGGTGAGGTTGGAGTTTCAGTTTCCCTCCCTGCAGGACGAGAACTGGCATAATAACCAAGGTGACCCCCCTTTGGCCTTCACACAGTTTTAGTAAATCTAAAGGCAGAGATGGTACAGTCATATTCTAATGTTTAGGATCAGCTTTACAAACCTATTGCACTCTCTCATTAACATTTGCCAAAACTATGTAGTTTGAGTATTTACCTAAGCAAGTCATTCAATTGCATCCAGGGAAGCCCTTGCACTACAAAATTGTTGATTCACTGGAGTTCCTACTGCCTGCTACTATGTCACTATAGAACTCAGTGGCCAGTGGTAGGAAACACAGCACAGTGGTGATGTCACTGCTACTTGTATGTAGTAATATCTGGGTTAGCAAAGGTATTTGGTGCACAGTTTATATCCTTTATGTGTATTGGGGCATATATTTAATATTTCTGTGCTTGTAGTTTAGCTTTATAGGACCATAATAACTAATTTTGAATGGCTCAATTATCCCTACAAATCCCTACGTTCCTGTGGTGCCTTGCTGTAGTTTTGTTAATCATCATAAAGCTCCCTCTCCTCTGCTCCTCTTCTCTTTTTTTTTTACTTTCTTGCTCTGCTGCTTTGCTAACCTCTATCTGTTATCTGCACAGCTGCTTTGCTGTCTCTTGTGCAGCTGTCTCTACATT